CCCCCCGTGCTCCCGCCTTTGCCCAAACTGTGCCGGTTTGAAGGAGCTGGAACCACCGTGTTGAGGAGCAGCACGGCGGCGGCGGCAGTGGCAGCCCTCGCAGCAGCACCGATGGTGAGCGTTAGCGTTTATTCAAGGACGACGTCCTTCAAGGGTACATGGCGCTATGTAGAGGTGCACTCGGTCGAGGTATGCTCCATGTAGTGCTTGGCTAGGTGCTCGGTTGGTGCACGGTTAGGAGGTCAACAGGAGCTTGGCTTGATGGCCTGGTCAATGACCCTCTTGTCGCCAGGGGGTGCTTGGTGGATGCATGCTTTGGGAATCTGAGCGCGTTGACTTGTGTGTGTGTTCGTCCCATCTATTCTGGCGCCAGTTTTGAGGCCTTTCGGCGTACGTACCTGATGCATCAGCCGGGGTCATACAAGAGGAAGACCACACAGGAGCGTATTGTTGTAGAAGGTGCACCAATCTTGTCACTGCTGGTGTTATTCCCTGGCTGTTTGAGCACGTCTGGTCGTCGTTGGGTGGTTACAGTACCACCTTCTTTTTGCAAACAATTGTGGGTGATCGTGTCGTGTCAATGTCCAGGTTTTTTAAACAACGTCTTCCTCCGCAATACTCTCCGAGGGACGTACATGTATCTCGCATTTTTCCCGCTTTTCTCCCTCCCACGACTCCGAAGTGATATCGATAGGATGGATAGGCTAGGAAAGACATTTTGAGCCACCATTGGCAAAGTAGGAAGGAACGATTGGCCATTGGTGATCGGTCCTGTGGGAACAATGCTCCGTTATTTCGAGGACGCGTGGTCAACGGTCCAACCGCTAAGGCATGCAAAACATAAGAGCACCCCCCCCCCTGAAAGCAGCGAAATTCATCCGAGGATGCTCCAAGCGCACAAGTAATGCAGCCGTCAGGGCAGAATTGGGGATCCAATTTCTACGGTCAGGAAGAGACGCAAGGAAGCTGACATGGCAGTATCGCATGTGGGGGATGGGAGAGGAGAGGTTGCCGAGAATAGTATGGGAGGCGAAGTGGGCAAGCAAAAAGAGGGGTAGACAAGCCACGCAATGGGTCAAGGTTATAGAGGACGTATGGAAGGGGTGCGACATCGACGAAGATGAAACGCTGGAAACGGAGCGTCTAAAGGGATTCAAGGGGAATATATCTGTTGCTTGTGCCGAGAGAGAAGTACAGAGTCTAAGGAAAGAAACCGAGGATAAGGAGGATCTAGAAGTGTACGGAACGTTGAAGGAAGGAATGAGGTTCAAGGATTACCTACATGGACCAATGGATGCAGGGACAAAGCTTAAGGTCAAATCCAGGACCGGGGACATAAGACCTTCGAGAACGTCGACGAAGACATAGGACGGTAGACGACGAAGACGACAAATTCAAATGTGATTGCGGCTTCGAATGCGAAGACCGTGTTCATGTAGTCGCGGAATGTCAGTGGTACAAGGAGGAGAGGGAAGTGTACGTGACTGAGCTGGGAGAAATAGAAGGGACGTACAGGGAGATGTTTGAGGCATGGAGTAAAGAGGAATGGACGGTAGCTGTACTTGGGAGTAGAAAGTGGTTTGAAAAGGCGGGAAGGGATATCGTTAGGATAGGCAGACGAGGGAAGTCATTTTTGAGCCACCTTTGGCAAAGTAGGAAGGAACGATTGGCCATCGGTGATCGGTCCTGTGGGAACAATGCTCCGTCCTCTCGAGGACGCGTGGTCAATGGTCTAACCGCTAAGACATGCAAAACATAAGAGTACGCCCCCCCTCCNGACCGACGCTTGGAGCCCACCTTCGCGTCGGAACACCCGGCTGTCTAGCTTGCGCGTCTTGTCGGTTGAAGTTGTTGGCATTGCCGGGAGCAGTTGTCACGGACGGACGGCCACGCCATGCGTGCTTCCTGCCTGAACATGCTTGATTGGTGTCCCACAAACCATGCTGCTCCTGCTGCTAGCTACATTTCCTTTGATGCAACGCCGCACACACGTAGACGTGCGTGCTTTCGCTTGAGTTGGCAGTGTACACACATATACCTGCCTTTGCCTGATGCCTTTGCTTGAAATACCAGAGTACGTATGTATTTCATGCACATGCTTGTCGATGTACCGGCGTGCTGGTGTATACACGCGTTAAACACGTCGGGTCTTGCTGTGCCTGCAGATGCTCGCCGCGGCACACGCGGAACCGGGGAACGCGCTGTCTTTCCCGACTTGGATGGTGCACGTGTCGAGCTTGATCGAGTGGCTCGCCGCCATGACCTACGTTTGGAGGTGATGTGATACCATACCCCAATAACAACACACCGCACACGAGACATCCTGTCTGCGGCAAAGATCCTCTTAGAACTGCTTAAACCCTTGGCGGTCACTGCTATAGCGTTTGGGAGGAACACCGTGTTGTGCTACCCGTTAAGCAAACGTCACACAAGGATAGATTCACGCGCTCAGTTTTGAGGTACAAGTGCAACCCTGTATTTTTGTTGTAGCCTTCTCTTGTAGGAACAATAAGGGAATCAATGATGTGATTTGGCTACGTCAATTTTTGGACACGAAATTAATCTTTTCCCGTTCCTTACGAAATCACGTCCTCCACTGTGCGAGCCCCTTTCCACCCACCCTCGCCATGACGGCTTGCAGCAATGCTGCGGTCTTGAAACATGCTTAGTTTGGAGCACGTTGAAAGCTATCGTGGTGTGGCGGCGTGATTCAAAGCACACCATGAGGTTTTCCATGACATGGAGCGCAGTTGACTTTTTGGACCCTCCCGCCCGCCCCCAGCTGCTAACGCCACTCATGCCATCTCTTCGTCGCGAGAAAATCAGGTTCGCGGACGTGTCCGGCCTTAAGGAGTGGAAGGGGCTAACGTGGGGCATGCTGCCCCTACACACAAGCGGTCTGATCGCTTGCACGTACCACATCTTCTACAACGCCCCCGAGCTTATCTCGCTTGTAGCGATGCAGGTGCGACCCCCCCCCCACTGGCCGTTCATGGTTTCTAGCATGTACGGTGCCGCCACAATAACGTTCATGCATTACAGTAGATGCTGTCGGGTGATTGTCGCCGACCCAGCTTGATTTCACTGCAGCGAGGGTTCCGTGGAGGGTTTGACTGCGATGATTTCATTGGTCCAATTCAGCAGTCCAATAGACCTTCGTCACCGCCGCGCAGCATCTATTGAGCACGGCTCTCCCTGGCCCTACTTGGTCAACTTGTTGATCAGCTTCAGGAATCGTATTAGAGGACAAGTGGGGTTCCACCCATCATTGCAATGACGCGGTTGCGATTGTTTTTTTGAAGTCGCCCAAGGATTATTGTTTGGCTTCGGGTTGAGGTTGGAGTGGTTCGGCGAGCGCACCGGCCCAGCCGCCTGCACCCCAGTGATGGGCGCGGGACCGCAAACCTCCATAGCTGCTGAATAGCTGGCAGGAACAAGAACAGTCCCGCTGTTCGCCTGAGTAAGTGTCGTTCAGCGCGCCTAGTACACGGAGGTTTTCGGTATGAGCGAGCAGGAATGTATGTACGTGCTCCGTGGTGCTGTCCTCGTTGCTTACGGACGTCAGCCTCCTGTAAAGCAGCAGTCTCTGACGTGACCGACATCGACCCGACTCAAAAACCAGGCGGGGCTGACGTGCTTCGGGAACGCTACGATGGCCTTCGCCACGTGGAGAGTCTGGCAGGCGGGGAAGCAGGAGTGGAGGGGAGACGAGGTAGAGGAGGCGGAAGCGGCGGCGGCGGCGGCGGCGGCTGCGGCCAGGAAGGGGTGAGGAAGCAGGGCTATTGCGACGCCTCCCTTTGACGTTGTCGGACCGCCTTCGCGAGAACCTAAGTTTCATGAGTATAGAGAGCAGGGAGGGGTTACGCAGACCCTATCCCTTATCCTAACCCTAACCCAGCTTCCCTGATTGCGTCCTTCATCCAATGTGTTTACTAATTCGAAAAACTCTGCCAAAGGCTACTGGTTTTGTCCCCACGCGAGTGTTTCGCGATTCGGTGTGTCGTCTAGGTGTTAGCAGCAGCAGCGTTAAGTCTTCAGGAAGTAAACAGCCAGGGGGGAATTCTCACTCATGTTTTGCATGCCTTAGGTGTTAGGCCTTTGGCCATATAGGGGTGAGTTGCCGTCATGGGAGGGTCAGACAAGGGAACCTTATTCGTACCATTCAATATTGCCTGCTTCACGCTTCACCTAGCTCGCGCGACAGACGCCCCCCCCACAACCCACAGCCCAAACCGCTCGCAATTCCCTTGTCTTGGCGCAGCTAGCGCAAGGGTGTTGTTAGCCCGGGAAGCTGATGTATGTTTTCGTACTTCGTGATGAATCATTGTAGCCTAACTCGCGTGATCGTCACGTGCCCGCATCACGCGAGGCCGATGGTCTGACGACTACGGCCCGTGTGCCCTGTTTTCTTTTTTTCATGCAAGTCTTTCCTCCGGAGCGGGCGGGCTCGTGAGAGCACAACAGTAGTAACATTAAGGGGTGATGCTAGATGAGATATGTAAATCTCGAACAGCCCGCACAGCTGACGCGACTAGACTTAAGGAGCCCAGTGAACCACATATTTATCCAATCTGAATACCGGCTTTCATGCCCCTCCTCCCGCTACGCGGTCACCTTCTTTTACGCCCGAGAAGCTTGTGGTGGCCGGTCTCAACTGCCACCAAGACATCGAAAAAAGAAGGATACCACGCCCGCTTTCCCTTCCCCGACCATGCACACCCTGTGATTTATGACCGCTCTGCCTCAGCGTCTCGGTGTTCTTGACACAACCTGTGCCTTGTGACCGGTATGTTTTTCGTGTGTATCTCTCTCTCTCTCTCTCTCTCTCTCTCTCTCTCTCTCTCTCTCTC